TTTGGCGCAACACAATCTTCCCGCATCTAGCTTATCTAGATGATAATAAAAAGTACTGACTAGATACAAAACAGTCTCGAACATCTCAACTTAAACGGGATATCGAAGATTATGAAGGTCTTGATATATATATATATATATATATATATATATATATATATATCGAGAACTTCAGAATTCAGTAACAACTATGTTGGGCTGGACATGCGACAAGGATGGGTGATGATGGCATACCAAAAGTTGTTCTTCACACTGAACTCCATAATGGTCATAAAAATGATGGTAGACCTTGGCTCAGGTATAAAGATAAACTGAAAAGCAACCTTTCTAGCGTCAACATTCCATTTAAGAACTTTGAAGACGTAGCTATGAATAGATCAGAGTATCGTTCTAGATGCCATTCAGGAATAATGCACCATCAAGAGGTAAGCATCAGTCGACTACGTGAAACACGAAAGAAAAATAAGACAGCGAACAGTGTTCCTGCTGCACTTGGATACAATACATTCTCCTGTACTGTTTGTGGTCTTTTGTGCAATTCTCGAGCCAGTCTCAAAAGTCATGCCCATCATAGGTATGCAGATAATTAGTTCGTGGTCGTCGGAACATCATACATCGAAATCGATGGGAGAGTCCATTATATATATATATATATATATATATATATATATATATATATATAAATATATATATTATTTTTTATTTTATTGGACAATTCTTTGATATTGAAGCATTTGTTAACAATTAGCTTAGCGTCTAATCATTTGATATCTAAACTAGATCTGAGTTTATCTTTCTATCTTTCATCTTTTGTTTTGAAATTGTTACCGGAATTTTTTATTTTGAATACCGAAAAATTTAATGAATGATTTTTTTTTTTTATTAAATTCAGCTACGGTCTGTCGGTTTAAATTTAATGTTGACCTTTTTGAGAAATACAAGATTGGTACCATCGAGACCTTCATAATGTAATCACAACTATGTTGGGCTGGACATGTGGTAAGGATGAGTGATGATGGCATACCAAAGGTTCTTCTTTTACACTGAACTCCATTGTGGTCATAGAAATGTTGGTAAACCTTGGCTCAATTATAAGAATAAACTGAAAAGCAACCTTTCTTGCGTCAACATTCCATTTAAGAACTTTGAAGAGGTAGCTATGAAGAGATCAGCTGACACGAAAGAAAAATAAGACAGCTGACAGTGTTCCTGCTGCACTTGGATACAATACATTCTCCTGTCCTGTTTGTAGTCTTTTGTGAAATTCTCGAGCAGGTCTTAAAAAATTTCTACCATCATAAACATGCAAAGATAGTTCTGGGTCGTCGGAACGTCATACGTTGAAATCGACAGGAGAGTCCATCTATATATATATATATATATATATATATATATATATATATATTGGGTTGTGTCCTAAATATACATACAAATGCAATGATATATCTAAAATATATAAATATATATGCATACATACATACATACATATATATATGTATTAAAAAAATATCCAAGAGGATAGAATTCAGGTAGAACTCAATGTCCAGGACAGACTAATATATAATAAAAAGGCTTAAACAAAGTTATTTTCATGGTCATAATTTATTTCATTTCTATAATTTGGATATATTATATATATATATATATATATATATATATATATATATATATATATGTATAATGTGTGTGTGTGTGTGTGATCAAGAAGAAAACTTTTCCGATTCATTTCGGCTGTAATTTATTTCGTGAATATCTAAAATGGTGTTAGATAGATAGATAGATTTCTAGATAGATAGATAGATAGATAGATAGATAGATAGATATTTTTGTGTATATAAATATATGAACATAAATAGATAACGTAAACACATGAACAGATGTGTGTATGTGAATATATGAACATAGATAGATAGATAGATAGATAGATAGATAGATAGATAGATAGATCATCATCTTTATAGAAATATAATTCAGTACTTATAAAGCAATCAATTAACTTGTGACTTTTCTGAAGGAAAGTTTTTCATCGTCCAAACAGAGGCGAACGTTTATTTTCTTACAATGATTTGTGTGGTGAAAATTTGACACACGCGTTTCGTATATGCTAACAGAACAGAGCGTGGTATGGCGAAGCGAGCATGAAACATTTTGATTTGCCTGGGTTATTTTCTTTTCAATGGAACAGATAGACGAATCCCATAAACGTCGGCTGGAAAAAAAAAAGTCTGGAGATCTGCAAAATGAACTCATGACAATGAGTTGTAGAATGAATATATTTTCTATCAAATTGTCAGGCCGAGGTTTTATCACCTACACAACGTTATCATACTGACCTGACATTGTTATGGAAATTAACGAAATCTGGTGATATATTGAGGTACTGCAGAGGCGCCTTGAGTGAGAAGGAATTATGTCTAAGGCCAGAAATCAAACTTGGTTCCATTCTCCTCTTCTGGTAATGATTTTTATCTTTGAAAAATCTACTGTTGTATTCGCAACAATAGACAGAAAAGAGAGAGAGAGAGAGAGACTGGCATAGATTCACAAACTATGATAGAGAGATATATACATACATACATACATACATACATATATACATACATATATACATACATACATACATACATAATGTAAAGACTTGTATATATGTGTGTACGTAAATATATGAACATAGATAGATAGATAGATAGATAGATAGAGAGATAGATAGATAGATAGATAGATATGAACCGAGAAAAATATGTATAGAGAGAGGAACACACACATATATATATGTGTGTGTGTGTAGAGAGAGAGGGGGAGAGAGAGAGAGAAAGTGAGAGAGATAAACGTAGATATGTAGAGAGATAGGGAGTGATTAACAGACGTAGATAGATAGATAGATAGATAGATAGATAGATAGATAGATAGACTTGTATATATGTTTGTATGTAAATATATGAACATAGATAGATAGATAGATAGATAGATAGATAGATAGATAGATATGAACCGAGAAAGATATGTATATGTATATATATATATATATATATATATATATAATTTGGTTCGTGTGTGTGTGTGTTCCCATGTGTGTGTGTGTGTGTGTGTGTGTGTGTGTGTGTGTGTGTGTGTGTGTGTGGAAAGAAGAGAGAGAAAAATGGAAAGTGAGAGAGATTAACCCAGCTTAGATAGGTAGTGAGATCAAGGGAGTGATTAACACATGTATGTAGATAGATAGATAGATAGATAGATATAGATAGATAGATGATAGATAGATAGATAGATCTCTGAATGATCTTTGATGCTGTGGGAGAGAGAGAAAAAATGAACAGACTTAGCTACCTTGTAGCAATAAAATAAGTACATCCCATCTCCTCTCTCGTTTGTAACCATCCATCACAATAAAATAAACTTTTTTCATCGCTAACGCTGAATTAGTCAAATAAAGCTTCTAATTGCAGTTGTTACTATCCTACATACGCAGTAGATAGATAGATAGATAGATAGATAGATAGATAGATAGATAGATAGATAGATAGATAGATTAGGAGTAGAATGAGATAGATAGATAGATAGATAGATAGATAGATAGATAGATAGATAGATAGATAGATAGATAGATAGAATGAATGAGATAGATAGATAGATAGATAGATAGATAGATAGATATAGAATGAATACTTTTCCTCAGGAAAATTACTTAAAGGTTTTTGTTAAGTGGCAATCTATAAAAGGCTAAAAAAAACGTCCGTGGGCGGCCAAAAATAAAATGAAGTCAAATAATAACAAAATACAAAAATTAATGCTGACAATTTTATTTTAAAACAACTGTAGGGAATCGACGTAACAAAAAAACAAAACAATGGCGAAACAAAGTAGTAGAAGAGACCTTATTTCCGAAAACGCCATCTTGACTCGCTATCCATCTTCAAGATCACGTAACACAATATACGATGGACAACATTTATTTTTCTTATTACTTTTCTTTTCTTCCAGTTACCGTCTTCACCTTAACCCTAACCCTGTTCTTTATATATCCAATCTTCAACGGCATTGTCTTTCCCTGCGCTTCATATTACGATGATGTGGAAATACGGCCATCAGATGAACGGAAAGAACTAAGATTTACGTCCCTTAGTTCCTTATTTTACCCCGATTCGCTTTCCTTCCCTCCCCTACAAGTCTGGTTCATGTCCCGCCACCAACTTTATATACTGCCTATCTTTTAACATCCTGAACAAAGAAGCCTGTGCGTCTTGGGCGATAGTGTCGGTTTGTGGGGTGGTCAATGTTAAAAGATGAGCGAATGACGATTGCTGGTGTGAGGAGAAATATCCGTGCACTCGCATGTGGACAAGTAAGTGAATACAAACACAATGAAACGTTAAACTCGTGGCGTCTGACATTGGAGAGGACATTAAAAAAAACAAAAAACAACCTCTAAACAGACACAGATTTTTTTTTTCTTTATGCTAACACCTTCACTGTTAAACGCATATCTACGAGCATGCGCAGTGAGGCGCGGGAAACTGATGCAATTGGCATATAACTCTAAACCAATACAATATTTCCTTTATTCATATATTAGCTTAAAAGCCGCACTCTGTGCAGACTTTTAAGCGAACTGCTGCTGGGGTCTAAATGGCGTAAAACTAAAAGGATCTCTGGTCCAGCTTAGAAAACAGCAATGATAATTGTGAAAAAATAATTTTGAATTCCTCAATTCACTCCATGGAACTTCAAAACCTCACTTTAACTCTGATTCGGGCCAATTCTAGCCAAATGATCGATTTGAACCGAAGTTAAAATCCAGGCCCAAAACTGAGGCCCAAAACTGAGTTTTCAAATTACAAACTCTGGGGAACTTTAACTCTGATTCGGACTGGAAGTTCGATTCCGTCCAGAAGTTCGATTTGAGCCGAATTCTGATTTGTGCCGAAATTCCAGTTCATACCGAAAATTGAATTTTCAAATCATAAACTCCATGGAACTTCAAATGAGTTAAGTTCTTCAAATCA